TTTTGAATTTACTGAGGCTGTTTTTGTGGCCTCGTATGTGATCTATTCTTAAAAATGATCCATGGGCACTTGAGAGAAGAATGTGTATCCTGCTGCTTTTGAGTGTAGAGTTCTGTAGATGTCTGTTAGGTCCATCTATTCTAATGTGTTGTTCAGTGCCTCTGTCTCATTACTTATTTTCTGTCTGGTTGATCTATCCTTTGGAGTGAGTTGTGTGTTGAAGTCTCCTAAAATGAATGCATCACTTTCTATTTCCGCCTTTAATTCTGTTAGTATTTGTTTCACATATGTACGCACTCCTGTATTGGGTGCATAGGTATTTATAATGGTTATATCCTCTTGTTGGACTGACCCTTTTATCATTATGTAATGTCCTTCTTTGTCTCTTATGACTTTCTTTGTTTTTAAGTCTGTTTTGTCTGATACAAGTACTGCAACTCCTGCTTTTTTCTCCCTGTTAGTTGCATGAAATATCTTTTTCCATCCCTTCACTTTTAGTCTGTGTATGTCTTTGGGTTTGAAGTGAGTCTCTTTTAGGCAAAATATAGACAAGTCTTTTTTTTATCCATTCAGTGACCATATGTCTTGATTGGTGCATTCAGACCATTTACATTTTGGGTAATTATCGATAGTATGTACTTATTGCCATTGCAGACTTCAGATTCATGGTTACCAAAGGTTTAAGGGTATCTTCCTTACTATCTAACAGTCTAATTTAACTCACTTAGTGTGCTATTACAAACACAATCTAAAGGTTCTTTTCTTTCTTTCCTCCTTTTTCTTCCTCCTCCACTCTATATGTTAGTTACCGTGTTCTGTACTCTTTGTCCATCCCTTAACTGACTTTGGGGGTGGTTGGTTTCATTTTGCATCTGCTTAATAATTAATTAATCTACTTTCTTTACTATGGTTTTATTTCTTCTGGTGGTAGCTATTTAGCCTTAGGTACACTCCCATTTATAGCAATCCCTCTAAAATACACTGTAGAGATGGTTTGTGGGAGGTAAATTCTCTCAGCTTTTGCTTATCTGGAAATTGTTTAATCCCTCCTTCAAATTTAAATAATCTGATAATCTTGCCGGGTAAAGTATTCTTGGTTTGAGGCACTTCTGCTTCATTGCGTTAAATATATCATGCCACTCCTTTCTGGCCTGTGAGGTTTCTTTTGAGAAGTCTGATGATAGCTTAATGGGTTTTCCTTTGTATGTGATCTTTTTTCTTTCTCTGGCTGCTTTTAACAATCTGTCCTTATCCTTGATCTTTGCCATTTTAATTATTATGTCTTGGTGTTGTCTTCCTTGGGTCCCTTGTGTTGAGGGGACCCCAACACCTCCATGGCCTGAGATACTGTCTCCTTCCCCAGACTGGGGAATTTTTCAGCAATTACTTCCTCAAAGACACTTTCTATTCCTTTTTCTCTCTCTTCTGTATGTAGCTCCATGAGCATGTTTATGATTTTTATATTGAAATCTCTTTCATGTAGATTGATAAGTTCAGTTTCACTTGGCCCTCTTTCTGGTGTTTTGCAATTTTGGTTTGAACCAGGTTCCTTTGACGTTTCATATTTGTATGTGGCACCCTCTAGTGCCCAGAAGCTCTACTCTTTGGAGCTGCTCAGCACCTGGAGTGATGGCAGGGGTTGAGTTGGTGCCTGTCCAGAGGAAAAAGGTCTTTCCTGCTTCCCAGCTGCAATGACTGTCTCCAGTGCCAGGGCCAGCTCTTTCAGGATTTGATGAATTTGTATATTTTCATGTTATATGTGGTTTTGGGAGGAGGTTCTCTAGCTAGTACATTTTATTATGTGTAACATATGGGTTTATATAGTTGACCCATGGACAACACTGGTTCCAACTGTGTGAGTCCACTTACATGCAGATTTTTTTCAATAAGTATCTTAGAAGTTTTTTTGGAAATTTGCAACAATTTGAAAAAAAGATTTTCTTTTCTCCAGATTTATTGTAAGAATACAGTAGGTGATACATATAACACACAATATGTATTGGTCAGTTGTTTATGTTATCAGGAAGGTTTCTAGTCAACAGTAGCCTATCAGGAGTTAAGTGTTGGGAGGGGATTAAAAGTTATATGTGGATTTTCAACTATATGGGGGGTTGGTGCCCCAACTCCTAAGTTCAAGAGTCAGCTGTGTATTTGATGGACCTCTAATTTTCTTTCCTTTTACTAACCTTATTTGGCTTCACAATCTAGGTTGGATTGGCATTACAAAATAAGCTTTCCTGCTCTCTTTATCTGGAATAATTCATACTAGATGGCAAATCTGTGTATTTGTGTGTGTGTTATTTTGGTTTGGTTTGGTTTTACAACAATAGTATGGCTCCTTTCAAGTTTCCGGACCAATTCTAATGTGTGTGTGTGTCTGGGGTGGTCTTCCCATGCACACTATGGAGCAATCCTCCAACACCAGCAGGGTATTGGAGAGCACAATGCAATTCTGATACTGTCTGCCCAGAGACAGCATTAGAGTCCTCACAGTAAGGGCTTTGTCCTACAAGAGTGCCCTCCACCTCCTGCTCCAGATCCTGGCTGCAAGAGCCAGGCAGTTCCCTGTGCTTCTGACTTACTGGCTACAGATTGGAGATTCCCACACTTCCCCCTTAGGGTCGATTAATTAATAGAGCAGCTCACAGAACTCAGGAAAACATGTTTGCTTGCCAGTTTAATAAAGGGTACCATAAAGGATACAAGTTAACAGCCAGAGGAAGAGAGACATAGGGCAAGGTCCATGTGGGGTAAAATTGCAGTATTTCCAGAATCCCTGGCCTAGCTTTAGTCCATTTCCATATTAATAGGTGTTTCTTCCTGCAGCCCCCAGGAACAAGGGGTAGAGAGAAGCTGTTCTCTCCTCCCCTCTATTGCACAATTGGTCTGGTGCCTGTCAGTTGCCAGAGCTCTGCCTGAAGAGTTCCTCCTGGAAGGGGCAGGGGAAGAGGTGCGTGCATTCTGGTTGGGAGAGAAAACAGGAGAGCAAGAGCAGTGGCTGAGGAGGTGAATGGAGCCAGGCTGCTTGTAAGAAAATAAAAGGTTTCTCCCAATCTAGCTTTTCCCTTGACTGATTTCGGCTTCACCAGTTTCACTGGTTCATTCACCCCAGGCTGGGAACATGCTTCCTTGCAGAGCTACAGTCCCAAATAAAGGTGTTTCAGTCCTCGTGGAGCTTAGGGCCTGGCTCAGTGACACACGGATTTGGTCTGGTTCCCCAAGCACAGAACCTCTCTCCACAGAGAAGCAGGATGCAAAAGAGCAACATATTCTTCTCAGGGGTTTTGTTTGAGGACTTCATTGAATATAGTCATGACTGACTAAATCATTGGCTCAACCTTTTTGGTGGGGTCCAAAAGTCTCTTATTAACATGACAGGACACCCATTGCACCTTTAAGACTCTACAGGGTTACCAGGAACTGTGAATTAAGACCACCTATACCTGGGAAATAATGTATTTGGTCATATGAATGACCAAATATGTATTTCTTACAGCTCATTATATCACAGCAGGAGTCCTCAGAAAGTTTTGAGAACCCACCTGTGTTAGGGGATTCTTCTAGGATGGGGGCTCTGCAGGTAGGAAGACTTTGGTTACCATTTTAATTTATTGAATGCTCACTGGCCTACTCATATTTTCTATTCCTTTTCAGGAAATTTTTGGTATTTTTAATATTTTTTCCAAAAATGTATCATATTTTGTTTAGGTTTTCTAATGTTTTGGTTCACAGTTGTTCATAATTTTCTTTTCCAAATTTTTTAATCTCTTTCATTCAGCATTTTCTTAATTGTCCTTTTTTTATTCCATCTAGAACAGGTGTGTCTCTTCTAATAATCTTTTCAAAGAAGCAGCTTTTTTCCTAATATTCTTTATTGTTTATTGTTGTTCCTTATTTCATTGATTTTCATATCTACCCTCACTTTTATTATATTCTTTCTTTTGGGGGGGTGCTTTCTAGCTCATTTTCAACTTTTGAAATGCATGCTTAACTCACCTGTTTTACTGGCTTTTAATTTTGTGAACAATTTTATTCAAAGTTGAAAGTTACCCTCAAGTACTGCTTTAGCTCTGGCCCTCAAATTTTGACAAAGTATTTCATCTAAGAAACACATTTTTCACATTTTAGCATCTCTGAGATCTAGATGTATCTTACACTTGATGGTATGACATTTCCAGTAGTAGTGTTTTCTTTCTTAGTGGTCTATAAAATTAGGGTGCATCTAACTCAGTAGCATCTTCAACACAATTAAATATTATACAGTGTCTTCATTGTCTTTCAGCTGTAAGTATTTCACAATTTCTCTTTTGGTTTTTTTTTTAGCTCAATGTTTTTTTTGTAATATACTATTTAGTTCCCAATATGAGATGCTTTTGCCCTCCTTTTGTTGTCTAATTTATTACATTAAGGTCAGAGAATATAGTCTGTAAGTTATATCTTAGGAATGCATTAGGACTTCCTTCTATCTTTAGTCTTTCTGTATCCTTTCGTTTCCAGAGTGTCTCTGGCAGACACACAGGAACGCAGTGCTTTCTTGCCCCCTCCCAGTCACTTCCATCTGCTGTGGTTAAAAGCCTCGACTCAGAAAGTCACTCAGCTGAGGGTCTGAACTCAGCCCCACCATGCCTATGCTCTAGCCTTCAACCAGAAGCCTCTCTCCTGCTCAGAGAAGTGGGACTAACAAGGCCCACCAGGAGACCTCTGCAGAGTCAGATGAACTCGGGGATGTGTTTGGCACAAGAACTGGCTGCTCAGTAACACGGAATCAGATCCAACTCTGAAGCTCCTTTTCGACAAAGAGCATGGACCATTCATTGGTGGAGGAGAACAAAAGGTGACATCACCTGCCTTGTTACCTTTCTTTCTGTTGCTAAAGCTGAGCAGCAGTTAGTGAGATGCTCTTGAAGGTGTTGGAAAAGTGTGAGGTGAACAGTTATGCCCACTTGTAACCCAGAGCAGGTGCAGGTGAGAGAGTGTGACCCCTCTCCTTGCTTTTGCAGAATGCAGAGAGCAGTTTACAACAGAAGAATGAAACCATCACATCTTTTGAAGAAAAATCCAATCAAGTTATGTCTACCATGAAACAAATGGAAGAAAGGTAATCACTTCCCCCTGGTAGATATTTCGTAGAAGGTTCTGTGCATTCTCAAGACCTAGGGACTTACTCAGTCTATCTCAAAAGTACAGACAACTTGGGTTGACTGTCCTTCAGGTCTGTAAGGAGGCTGAATTCCCCAGCCTCACCTAAGCCATGTGTTCACTTAACTTTTAGGCTACTGTACCATACTGTCCTCCAGGGTGGGTGAGGAGGGGATGGTCAGACTATACAGTAAGCACCTTGGCACTGTCACATTTAAATACCGTATCAGTAGTGGATAAGACTAGGGTCTAAAAATATGCCCACACAAATAAGGACAACTGATTTTTCTACAAAGGTACAAAGACAGTTCAATGGAGGAAGAAAAGTATTTTCAATAAATGAATTAGACATCTGTAAGCAAAAAAAAAATGAGCCTTGATCTGTATACCTCACACCTTATATAAAAAGTAACTCAAAGTGGACCATAAGTCTGAATAAAACTTAAAAAGTAAGTAAAAGTTAAAATTATAAAGCTTTTTAGAGGAAAATCTTAATGACTTTGGGTTAGACAGAGGCCTTAAATGTGACATAAAAGCAAATCCATAGGAGAAAACCTTGATAAATTGGACTTTATCAAAATTTAAAACTTTTGTTCTGTGAAAGACATGGTAAAGAGAATAAAAAGACATGTTATATAGATTGGGAGAAATTTTGCAAATCACGTATTTGAAAAGAACTTGTATCCAAATATATAAAGATCTTAAAATTCAATCTAATCTAAAAATGGACAATGGAAGAATGAGATGCCACTATATACCTATTAGAACAGCTAAGTGAGTTTTTTTACAGACAATACCAAGTGGTGGTGAAGCTGGAAGCCACTGGAACTCATATGTTACTGGTGGAAATGCAACAGTGCAACCACTTTAGAAAACAGTTTCTTAGAGCTCTACATCCTCTTGCCATATGACCCAGCCATCCCACTCCTGGCTATTTGCCCAAGAGAAACGAAAATTTATGTTCATACAAAATCTGTACATGAGTATTTATAGCAATTCTATTCATAATTGCTGAGAACTAGAAGCAACCCAAATGTGTTTCACTGGGTGACGGATAAGCAAAGTAGCACTCCCTACAATGAACTATGAACACTGATTGCAGTCATACATGCTGTGCTCAGAGAAAGAAGCCAGTCTCAAAAGTTTGTATAAAGTTAATTCCATTCATGTGACATTCTGGAGAAGACAAAGCCACAGGTCAGCATATGGGTGGCTGTCAGGGCAGGGGCAGGAACAGGCAGGCGTGGCTGTGAAGGGCAGGACTAGGGAGTCTTCCAGATCCCAGGGCTGTGCAGGATCCTGATGGAATGTATACGGGTGCTAAAACTCAACTAGACACACATGAGAGTCACTTCTACTGAATATCAGTGTTAATGTAAAGGAAAAAATTCAGGAATTAAAACATGAAAAACTCAGTTAAATCCTGAGGCCGGATCCTTTTCTCTAGGTTGCAGCATTCGGAGAGGGGGCGCCAGGGGGCAGAGGAGCGGAGCCAGAGGCTGCAGCAGGAGCTGGGTGCCAGGACCAGCGCCTTGCAGCACCAGCTTGTCCAGCTGCACGAACAGTGGTAGGCCCACGGGGCGGCTCGCGGCCACCTCCCAGCGCCGCGGTCTCGTCTGCCAGGCTGGCACGAGGCTGGGGGCGGATGTGCTAAGTACAAGGGAGAGCTCGAGGAGGAGATAAGCCGCAGCTGGGCTCCCCGTTTACAAATGAGCATTACAGATGAGGCTCCAGGGGTGCCCGGGTCCCCAGGGCTTCGCGGGGGGGAGGGGAGCCGGGGGAGTGGCTCGCTGCTGACCGTCAGGAACTTGCTCCGGCCTCAGGCCCCGGTATCCCCCGTTGTCGCCTGGCTCCGGGTGGGAAAAGCGGAATGAAGGTTGTACTCGCTGGCCCCTCGGGTGTCCCTCCCAGTAGACGATTCTGCTCGGGCGGTATTGTGCGGTGCAGGCGTTTCAGAGTTCTCCGCCCTCCTGTGCGTCCCGGGCTGCCCGCCAAGTGTGTGCCTGTGCCCACGCTTTGGGGAAGGGCTTAGTTGCTTACTGGCAGTTCGGATTCCTGCGGATTCCCCGATCCCTGTGCGGTGAAGTGGGTTGTGGGTTTTCCACGTAAATCTCCCAGGGAAACTAACTCTGGTTCATTTTGGGAGAACAGCTCAAGTCTGGACAAAGAGTTGAAATCAGAAAAAGAGCGCAGGCAAGCCCTCCAGCGGGAACTGCAGCGTGAGAAGGACGCTTCCTCACTACTCCGAGCAGAGCTACAGCAAGTGGAGGGCCTGAGAAAGGTGCGGTGGGGGCTCCCTGGGAGAACGAGAGCTGCTGGCGCCCCCAGAGGCTCCTGGCTCAGACCCTGCCAGCACCTGCCCGCTGTGTGCCGGCCCCGCGCTGGGAGGCTCCTCACCTGCGGAGCTTCTGCTCAGGAAGCCAAAGGCAAAGCCTAAGCCAGTGTGCGGAGCAGCGGGCCTCCCTGGTGAACGCTGTGAAGAGAACACAAAGGAAAATGTCCCCGTGGTGGGGCAGGGCAGCCTGGGAAGAGAGTCGGATCACAGCAGGGACAGCCATGCAGGGACAGGGGAGTGGGTGACTCTGTTGCAGTGAAGGAGTAGAAAGGGCGGCGTGGCTGAGGCGGCACGAATGCTGAGGCGGAGGGCCAACCACTGTGTGGAGAATGGATGGTAGGCATGCAAAAAAGGAAACGGGAGGGACCAGAAAACATTTAAACAAGTGCCAGTCCACACCTTTACCCCCGAGGTGGGCAGTCTGTCTGCCCCGGGTTACCACCTGGTCCTGGGTCAACGCAGGGAAGCACACTGAACCAGAGCCCTAAATCTCCCTGTCTATCCCCAGTCACCTCAGTCCTCTGGAGGCCTCACCTCACTTGGAGGCAAAGCCGGGGTCCTGTGGTGAACTGCAGGAGAGGAGGGTGGCATGCCCAAATGGGGCTTTGGCCTGGCTGTAGAACCAGACCTCCCAGGAACTCAGGCAGTCTAGTTTTCCCCCATGGTAGAGTCACCAGACATCTCCCCAGCAAGCAGGAAGGTCCAGCCAGTTCTGGTTTGAAGGTGGCTGTAGCTTCTTGAGCTGCTGGGGGGCATCTCTGGCCTCCACAGCTTTGCCCCGTGGGGCCGGCGGCTGGGTGCACCCTCTGCTCCAGGCAGCCTTCCTGCACCACACCATCCCTGGAGGTAGGTCCCTGGGCCCGGGGCAGCTTTCAGACCTGGACTATCATGGTAATCACTGGATCAGGTACGAAAGAGCCATTTGAGCTGAGAAACTGATTTCTGTTGGGAAGTGCCTAGAGCCAGTCCCAGGGTGGGACTGCTAGGGGCAGCATAAGTTCCCCAAGAACTGCTCAGGCTTGCAGGGGAGGAAAGGAAACAGAGGGCAGAAGAGGACTTCTAGAAAGTTCTGCATCATGAAACATGCCCCCTTAACTCCATTTCAGAATACATTGGTCTAAGATTTTCATTACACACTCTCCCCACATACACACCACAAAATGTGCCTAACCTCACCGTGAGCCTGTGTGTGCCTGTGTTCACAAGCTCTGGGGCAGAAGGCCCAGGGGCCACTGCAGGGGAACTGCCTGCCGCTCAGGCCTAAGCCCCACTGCTGCCCCAGTCTGCCCAGAACGCCATGTTACTGTCCTGGGGCTTCATCCAGACCCTCTCCAGCCTGTCCTCAAGGGGCACTGGCCCCAGGCTACACACGGGTATCAGTGACGCCCCAGTGAGCACCACTCCCCCCTGCAGGCTTCAGTGAGGTCCCCGATCTTGGCCTTCACAGCCTGTTCACCCACTCTCAGAGAATTTTGACCAGCCCTTTCCAAAACAGTTTATTCAGGCTATTTGTATAAGGTTCTTCATCTGTGTACTTTTTGAGATAGTTTGTTTTAAAAGTATTTTACTAGAAACTCAGGCAGTCTTATGTGCCCTGCAAGGGGGGCTGCTTTGAATGTGCCTGAGGCACATGGCTTCCCCCTTCCCCAGCCACAGGGCCACTCCTGTTGGGCTCATATTCTGGTGGCCCATTCTGGAGAAACAAGATGAGAGGTGATCTGTGAGATGACTTGTCTTGAAGTTCATACAGTAACCCTGCTTTTTGCTCTTGAAAAACCTTCTGACCTGCTTGTTGCCGTAATGACTAGACCTTTAAAAAGGACTTTGAATTCTCTGTGAAGCATGTGGTTTGTTCACTTTAGGAGCTAAAGGAGCTCCAGGACGAGAAGGCAGAGTTGCAGAAGGTTTGCGACGAGCAGGAACAAGCCCTTCAGGAGATGGGGCTGCACCTCAGCCAGTAAGAACCCTGCTCTCCCACCTACTGCCTACATCAGGGCCCCCACCAGGGGAGTCACAGCCTACCCACCACACACTCATGCCCTGGACCAGGTTCCGTTGTCAGGAAGGCAGGCCTCGATGACAGCACTGACTTCATTATTTATTAATTTTTCTAGTGACCAGAACCCTCACATTCACTAACTCAGCATTCAGGCCCTGAGGCATGGCTTGCTTGTTCAGCCTGCAGTCGACCCAGAAGGAGCGAGGTCATTTGGGAGGCCAAGCCTGCTGCGGTGGGAGCGTGGTAACCACTACTTACCTTTCTGGGCTGGATACTCACACCCCGAGTCTGTCCATCAGTCTCTGCTGGTACTGAGGGAGCAGAGCCCAGTGCTTATGTCTCCTTTGACTTGGTGGCTCTCATCCTTGGTGCCTTAGTCCTGCCAGTGTGCTATAGGTCACACTGCAGATGGTGGGACTTGTCCATTGTATTATTACTGCATTTTCACACCCATGGCCAGTTTTTTCTCCTTATCTGATTGCACATGACAGAAATTCAATTCAAACTGGCTTAAGCAAAAACAGCCATCAGGAGTCAGTCTCTGCCTCCCAATCTGCTGCCCTGCCTGCTGCTTCCCTCCAAGCAGGGCTGGTCCCCACAGGGCTATCTATCAGGAACAGAAGTTCCTTTCTCCATAGCCCCTGCAGGGCCCTCGGGTTGACTCGCCACTCTCACCAGTCCTGTACCTGTGCCTGATGCAAGTGTGGTGGCCAAATTGACAGGGGTCTAATGGCCAGCACAGAGCACACAGTGGCTGGCATAGAGCACACAGTGACCAGAAAAGGCCTAGAGATGGAGACTAACGTGTGAATGAACTGGAAACACGCTAACATGGTACGCAGATCAGGCTAATCCAGTGACAATTTAGGCTAATCTCAGTTTTTAAGGGCTCAGACCATTCCCCCCAAATTACATGTCCATGGTATTTCATTTCATCTGGTTTAATTCTACCAGTGCAGACCATGTTCAGCCCTGTCAAGATCTTAGGTGGGCAGCTAAGGAATTGTTCTTAACACTAGGAATGGAGCAAGAACAAATGACCATGCCTCCTGGGCCCAACCATCCTAGACTGAGCAGGTGGCAGGAAAAGGGCCAGGGAGGGCCCTGCAGACTCGGGGTCCTGCCCTGGGGAAGCCCAAGCCTAATAAAGGTGCACCTCCCCCTACTCAGGCACACACCACGCATGGGAACGTACTCCCAGGGGAGCCAGAAACCTGGCTTCCAGGAGATAATTCTCAGGTTTTAAACAGCTGCAACTATTTCTGTCTTTGAAAACCCTGCAGCTCAACAGTCTGTCCTTGGGCCAGATTCTGTTCATAGGCTCAGCCTCAGACAGTGGACGTGCGCCAAGGTGATGAGCTGACTCTGGGATGACAAACAGGTGGAAAGCCAGCATTTTAGAACAGCTCATGTTATGCTCCTCATACATGTCTATCACCCTCACTGCTATGAATGATTTTTTTTTTTAAGGTCCAAGCTGAAGATGGAAGATATCAAGGAAGTCAATAAGGCCCTGAAGGTAGTGGGTTATTAATGTTACCAGCCTAAGAACACAGAGCTGTTAGCTAGCTCATCTAAGGCTCTGCAGGCTCTAGGTTTTTGTGTGGCAGAGGGGTGGGGGTTATCACTCCTTTACAAAGACAGCATTGCTCAGAGCCATGTAACTTGGCAGAGATGTGATGCTGACAAGTGGCAGGGTGCAAACTGGAACTTAGGTCTGCCCTCAGCTGTTGTTTAACAGTAGGCCTAGATCACAGCTGCCCTGAGGAAGGACGAGGACAGTGGCAGAGAGAGATCAGGGGTTGTTAGAGAGAGACCTTTCCTTCCCAAGAGGGAGGCCAAAGGCCACCCTACTCTACTGCAGTGCCATTTCTGAGGAGGACTTAAGTCCTGGGCTGGGCCCAATCTCAGGATCATTTTGGGAAGACAGAATGACATACATCACTTAAGGAAAGTGGAAGCACATGGACCAGGTGACCTAGTGCGGGTGGCAGGCTGGCCTGCTGGGGAAGGAACAGTGCGGGGTGCAGGTCAGAGCAGAAGGGACAGCCCACCTGTGGCAGAAGCTCTCACCCTTGAGCGCTTCCCACGTGTGCTGGAGCAGAGCCCAAATGACTGGGCATCTGACTTCCAAGCGCTCCGCAGGTCAGAGGCAGCACAGCAAACTCAGAGCAGCTAACAGCCTAGACCTGTACTTAAGCTCCGTTTATTTCATCCTCCCTATAGATTGAACGCTTCTGGATGTAATTGCTGAGCTGCATATCTTTATGTCCCTTGCACTGCACAGAAGTGTTTGCACAAAAGGACAGCTAACAGCACCAGAGGGAGGATACAAATAAAACGGGGCTCTAGAGTTACCGGGAGCTATTGGACACAAGGCTGAAGCTCTGGGTGCCTTGCCACAGCTCCTAGTCCTAGATCAGTGTCTTCAGGAAAGCCACATCCAGGAGATGCTGATGAGCCAGAGCAGCACATCAGGCCTTGGACCCCTATAAACAGTCCCTGAGGCTGAATAAATCATATCCTAGTTCCCCTCAGGACCTCCAGAAAGGTCTCTCTCAAAGCTTGTCGCCTCCTCTGCAGAATGGAGACATCTGCCTCTCCTTGCTCTGAGGATCGGGTGCTGAGCATTGAAGGGCTTCCCATCTCTAGGGCAAAAGCACGGAGCCTTGTCTCTGTAAGGATCACTTACAACTGTTCTAGTCTAACGGGGTCCACCCTTCTCCCTCCTGCCAGTCAGGTGGGCACTTCAGAGAGCGTCTCAGCCAGGGTTGGGTTGCAAGCAACAGATCCTGAGTGTGGTTACCTCAGCCGAAGGGCATTTATTGAAAGGTGGGTGGGTCTCAGGTTAACCCAAGGCTGGAGAATGTCTTGCAGCCCAGGGGAAACCTGCAGAGGGAAGCCAGAGCCAAGGACAGGCCCCATCTGTAACATGTGAGCTCCAGCTATGCTCAGGGTGGGGGACAGTCCTCCAAGGCTAGTAGATCTAGTGGAAAAGAGAGGCCTCAGATGGGAACTGGGTGCTTTTAGGAAAGGGACAGCAGGGGCTGGGCAGCCAGAATACAGCTGAAGGCCCGCCAGTTGCTGAGCCATAACATGGGTTCTGTCCTGTCCTCCTCAGGGCCATACTTGGCTGAAAGACGATGAAGCAACACACTGTAAGCAGTGTGGAAAGGAGTTCTCCATTTCCCGGAGGAAGGTACGTCACTGGCTTTGCCTCATTCCAGGAAAAGCCCAGGGCCTCACCCCTGCATGTGTTGGCCTAGCACATGCAGCGGGCTTCTGAGCCTGCCCCTTTCTGGGAACCCTAGACAGTCAGCCACAGGCCTTTTCCCTCCCAAGTCCTTTCGATTACTGGCCAATTTCTTTAGGAAGTTGGGGCTGTTTTGTGTGCAAAGGTGGTCTACATGAGTGGATCATATTCTAAGTACCAGCATCCAGCTCAATCAGGGAAAAACAATCTCTAGTGAACCCGTGGGCAGCAGGTCTGAGAACAGGCATCTGAGCAGCACTGGAAGATCCCTGGCAATCTGGGCAGGGCAGTGGCCAGAGCAGCCTGCCTCAGGACCCAGGCAGGTGGGTGGGTCAGGGCAGTGCATCAGTGCCCCAAAAGGAATGCCTGTCACACTGCCACCCCCTGCCCCCACCTACCGCTCTCTAACAGCCTCTGGAAAAGCAGAAGCAAAAAACTTCCAAATTCCAGGCAAGGCCTTGCCATTACATTGGGGGCTACACACAGCCCTCCTGAGGCTGCCTTTGAGATCACATGAGCCTACAAGGCCTGCTGCAGTGGGTGCTCCACAAGGTCTAGCTGTCCCCACCCTTGAATGGCTGAATTCAAGGTGTTTATCTAGCCCACGGGGACGATGCGAGTGATGCCAAGAGCAGCACCCACACAGGCCCATCCTGGTGTCGCAATGTGCCCAGGTTCACGGCAGCCATTTATACAACAGGATGCCCTATCTGGAGGAGCCGGCCAGAGATCCTCCCGTGCCCTGCCGTGGGGGCTGCCAGCTCGCTGCATTAGTCCAGTAAACAGTTTAGACAAAACCCTTGTCAGGCAAGTGCACAGCCACAGCAACCCTCCAAAACGGAGAAGCAATGGTCTAGATGCCTCTGTAGGCTGACATGCTTTCTGGAAGAGGAATTTACTGTTAGGGGCTGGGAAGACAGGGCGGGTGTGCAGACAGGGTGCGGCAGCCAGGTGACGCCTGCTCCCATCTTCCAGCACCACTGCCGGAACTGTGGCCACATCTTCTGCAGCACGTGCTCAGGGAATGAGCTGGCCCTGCCCTCCTACCCCCGGCCGGTGCGTGTGTGTGACGGCTGCCACACGCTGCTACTGCAGCGCTGCTCCTCATGCCCTGGCTCCTGAGGCCCAGCAGCCTCGGGCTCCCTGGACAGGGCCACATGCCACTAAGGGGACGACCACGGCTCGCCAAGTCTGCTCACCAGTGACTCAGGGGGAAGACAACGGATCCTCGCCCAGCTGCAGGCCCTGGAACACAGCTCACCAGTTTGGAAGCTGCACAACTTTTTTTGCCAAACTGTATGGAATTAACTCCTCTGGATTGAAATTTCCTTCTCACTTGGCCACTTTATTGGTTTTGGCTCAGATCCTAACAATGATTTTGCTACTACCCTTTTTCACTTTTAAAGAATTCACCTATTTTGCAGCAATCGTAGTATTGGGGGTAATTTATCACCTCAGTGTGCCTTCCCTGCCTCAGTCAAAAGACTTGCCATTTCACACCCTTGTGTCCATCACTGGCCCTGCAATAAAACCATTTATTTTTCACTCTGGAGTAGACAATGAAAGTGCTTGTGTCAGCTTCACAAGTCCGCCTCTGGAGGACGCCAGGAGCAACCCCCACTGTAGGGGGGCCTCAGTGAGAGCGCTGTGCTTGAGGGGCAGGGCCCGAGAGACCCCTATGCTCAGGGGTACAGGCTGGGCTCTGCCCAGGTGAGACAAGGACGAATGGGGCCAGCAGGTCCACAAGTAGGTGCAGAGGAAGTGGCTGAGGCCTGTCCCAAAGCTCAGAAGTTGCCCCCTTACAGAACAGTAGGATACCAATGATTCAGACAGGGAGTTGACTTAGCTGATTATAGATGTGGCCACCTGTGGGCAAGATCCTGGCAGTTACTTTGAATCTCAGCAGCAGCCCTGGGACAGGGTTTGTGGGCTGTGAAATTGGCTTGGAGCCTCCCGCCTGGGACCCTGGCCCTGCATGTGCTCCCCACTCCCCTCAGTGCAGAAGTCCACCTGGGTTCCGGTTAACCTTTGTGTTGTGCACTCGAAAGCCCCTCTGCCTGCAAGCCTCAGCTCACTCACTACCAGTCTCCACCTCCTGCCCAGCCTGAGCTGTCCAAGCCCTGGCTTTTGCCCTGTGTGGAAGGCTCACCCACAGCCTGGATCGGATGCTATGTATGTTGTGTTCCTTTTAACATCCATGTTACAGACAACAAACAGGGGAACCCAGGTTAGGTCCCAGAATCTAAGCAGCCAGCCTCCAGAACTGTGTGCTCAGCCCCACAGTGACATTCCATGCCACAGGCTTGCAAACCCGATTGATTAGGGAAGCACACAGCAGCAATAGGCTCCTCCCTCCCTAACCTGAGCAGTCAGCTCTTAGAGGGCCCAACTCATCCCCCAAAAGTTGATGGCTGCACTACCCCAAACTGGTGTGCAGTAGAGATCTGTACCTTCTCAAGCACCACCCCACTTGGACTCCAGCTTGCTGGAGAGCCTCAGCCTTCATCTACACACACAAAAGTAGATTCCCTCCCTACACGCCCTTCCCATTGCTGAGTCAGGCTCTTCCCTTCACAGTAACTTATCAACCTCACAGCACCACCCCAACCCCATAGCAACAGGTGTTCCAGATTACACACAAAGGATCCTTGTGCCAGTCACCAACAGCGAGCTGCACTGAAGAGCACTTTTCTACTCAGACATCAAATATGCACCTGAACTTTGGAACCCTGTCTCTGGCCAGGTAACCTTCCCTGGACCTGAGCAAGTGGGACAGATGGTGTAAGTGCTTCTCAAATTTGTAAACACACAGGTTGATGACCTGGGGGTGGGGGGCTTACCATGTTAAATTGCAGGCTCGCTGGCCTGGAGGTTTTTTGCTCATTCTTAAGAGCCCCCAGGTGATGCTGCAGGTCCATGGAGCCTGAATGGTTCTAGACAGTTTTTTTAGGAAGAGTTGTGTTTGTTGTATTTTCAAAAACATACATGGTTTTGGGAAATTTCCACTGCTCTACTCACACCGCCATCTTGGCTCCGCCTTCCTCTGGACACCTTTTTTAAGCCAAATTGTTCTTCACTAGCCTTTTAGCCTTACTCTCCAAGTTCTTAGTTCTAGTCCCTTCTCTTCCTCCAACAGACCGTGTTTTTCCACAAAGATGCTCCTTGTGTAAGAGAAGTTAACTGAAGGACCCAGGAAGGAACCCTCCCTCCTTTTCAACACCAACTACCCATTTTGACAATTTTTAACTCAGCCAGTATCTCAATACCAGTGCTCCACACTGCCCCTGAAAATTCTAAAACACGGTACACACCTTCCTAGTGTGATATTTTGGTGTCCCCCGCTCAATGCATACCTTTTTCCCCACAGCCCATGTGTTCCACCGTGGCAGAGGGGATACAACAGGGCTGGTTCACCACAGGGACCCTCATGTGCAGCCTCATGGAAGGTGCCCCCTACATTACACTGCCCAAGAAAATTTCAAGTCTAAGCAGCTTTTCAGCATATGCTCACCATACTAACCTCACCCAGAACAAAACCCTTCAGAGAAGTAGACACACACCTGTATCCATAGCTATTTTAAATTCTTTCAACAAAGCTAACTTTCAGAGTCTAGGGGGATGGTGAACAAAACTTCCCAAATTCTCATCTAATGGGGATTCTCCAACTACACTGCTTTATCAAACCAGCCCTCATCTACAGATTCCCTCCCTATACAGCATTTCCTAACAATTATCTAACCTATCAGAACACATCTCAATTACAGATTTAAACAAGTCATGTTTACTCTGAAATGTGGTACATTCTACACCTCAGGAGCTTTATAAAGGGAACAAAGTTTGCTGTTAAATGGACATTATCTTTATTTAGAAAGCAAAAATCTACACTAAAACCTCAACTTGAATGCCACCTATGAGCCAGCTCCTTCTAAGATGCCCCATTATGAGCAAATTTCAAAGAGATGCAATCAAGATTGAGGGGCAGCTCCTATCCCAACCCCTGGCCCCCAGACCCCACGCCACTCTTAGGAAGCTTCTGCACATGCCAAGCATGCGGTGAGGGCACCGCCGCCTCCCCCTCGGCTTTGTGCAAATGCTTTAGCAAGTCACAGGCAGTTCAGAACCAGGTCCTGCACAGCCAGGCCAGACTGACAGCCCTTCTACAAGGGCCCCAAAGCTACCTTTACCTTCAGGTGCACCGGAGGGAAGTCAGTCTGAAGACAGCTACACGTCAACAGCCTCAACTGCCGAGCCACCGCCACCCCAGGGGCGTGGGCCACTGCCACCTAAGCCACAGGCAGGAACAGAGCACCAAGCTACAGTCCACATGACACTGAAGCACAGACAAGACAAAATGCGGTCTTTAAAAGAAAAATTTATTTGACAAGTTTCAACTTAGCGCAATACACCTAAATCACAATACAATCAAAGATTTAAATCAAGGCCTCAGAATTTCATACAAACACCAAGACCAAAATCCTAAAGTGTTGGTATTGCGTCTCAAAATTTTCCCCATTAACTTAAAAAAAAAGCGCTTAAACTTACGTGCCTTATATTATTAAATGAAACTAGAATTAACAAACATGCCAAATATTTCACTTTTGTAGACACAGCTCCTATATTGTTTTACAAAAAAGCATGTCTTTCAACATGCATCCCCCAACAGTGTTCAATGTAATGTGGTATAAGAGCAACATTTAACATAATTCAACTGCTTTAACCTAAATACACTTACTGCTTAAGTACATCCTACAATATAACTAACTTGAGAAAAGCTGAAAGTTTAACAGTTAAACGTGGCTGTCACATCCTACATGAATTTAATGTGCTCAAAAATACTGAACCTTGAGTCTTTAAAACAATCCTGATTTCAACAATTAAGAGTGAGCATCAATCAATCACAAGCTTGTACTGCAAAACTGTTAAACTTTTTTTTCTTTAAAAAAATGTTGACCAAGAGTCAGTGATCGGAATCAATTACATCCCCCATCCACCACTCATACTGGACATGCCAGCAGCCATCCCTCCCGCTCCGTTCACTTCCACAGATGCTCGGCTTCCACTACTGTAGTAGCTGCTGTTCACTGCTCCTTGGGTGCCTGCAAAGAGATCAATGTGACAAGTCAGGAGAAGTATCAGGTTACCAGTAAAATAAAACACGTAATATTCCAAGAAAAAATTTTAAAAGTATACGACTACAAATGGCTGCTGTCCAGGTGGCGAGAAGCATGTTTGGGAAAGGGGACTCCCGACTCCAAACAAGTCTCAATTAACCCCTTTTCTCTGCAGTACCAACTTGCCAGACTCTTGTGCTACACCATTTAATTGGATGCTTCAGGATCAACGTGGAAAATTAAGTTTAAAGGAAAACTAGTGTTTTTCAAAAATTGCAAAATTACTTCATGTTGTTTTTAAAACTAAACAAGGCATTTAAAAAAAATTTACCATAAACATTCACAATATGTCCATCGGATGGCATATATGAATAGGGAGCACGGGGCAGTCTGTTGCTTTTCCTATTCACGGTGGGCAGGAAGTGAGCCAACAAAGTCGGACTGAACTCACTGTGCCCAGAATGGCAGCCTCCATGGAGTTAAGTCAGAGCCACTGACTGCTATGGAAGTAGTGTCCTTACAACATATCAGTATTTGCTATTGGGAATTTAAATTATATTTCTTGAGAAAATATTTACCTATGCAATGTTTGATTGAAAATCACTGGAGTTTTCCTGTAAAACTTGGTCTGCAAAAGGATTTTGTAGGGTAAGACTATAATACCAAAATCACCATTCTTTAGACCAATTGAAAAAAAAATTAATAAAACCAATCCTAGGTTAACTGACTAATAAATACGGTTCTGAACCCAACCACCATTCTACTCTTTAAAATTCTCCCTCCATCTGAAATGGATTTAATGCTAACCAAAAAACAAAAAAACAATTTTCTTTAATGTTTTAATAAATGGAGGCAGATGTTTTCTGGCTCAACATTACTCCAACTTTCAATAATGACTAATTTAAATTTATAAATACTTTTCCCTCCCAATGATTAGTTCTGAAAATTAAGCTATTAAGAACTGTTATATTAGGATCAAAAGCATACAGTTAATAACCCAGTTTCACCAAAGAGGAGCCTGCATATTCCCAGCTAAAGAAACCTGCCTAAAACTTACTCTAAGTATATAAAAAAACACACTTACCATATCCACTCATGCTGCTCTGGCCACCATAGCCACCTCCATAACCACCACTCAGCTGCTGGCTGGCTGGGCCACCATAACTGGACTGGTTTGCTGTTAAGAGAACATTAGAGCCTTGTTCCTTGTGCAGTGTGGTACCTGGTGGTACTGGGCTTGTAATTCTATGATTTTTCAGTCTCGATCTTACATTACTATAACCCTCTGCCTCCTATTATCTACAGACTACCCTTTCTATCCATACATGAGCTAATCAAACATTTTTTATAAACCAAAAGTCCAACAGTATACACATCAGGAGGACTAAACCCACAATTCCCTAAGTAGAGACATTTGGAGACCTTATGAAACTGAACGGGGTGGAGTTTCCCCCACAATTTGCTACATTAAGGTTCTGTCAATACCCAGTTATAACTAAACACCTAATTAAGCCCAAATGATCATGCCCCAAATGTCCAGTCATTTTGATCCTATGCTTTTGGCTAAATATAAACTTCAGATTTATGCTCCATACTTAGACGCAACTAATTTTTCTCTAGTCCCCTCCCCCAAAACCACCTAAAACTAATTGGCTACCTTACAATTCTAGGCAATCTTATGCAACTCCCAACAATTTAAGCCAGACACAACTCATCAAACTTACTTGCCTAAATTATGCTACACTCATTAAATATAAATGTACTTATATAATCGACTTAGATATAAAAATTTTGGTTTAAAAAAAAAAACGATATTTACACAAGCCCATGCCTCCCATCATTTGGCTACCATAAGCACCACCGCTTGCTCCTGCTGTAGAATTCAAGAAGAGTTCTACATATCTGTGTTCTGAAATGAGAAAAAAAGAGTTTGAGTGTTGGTGAAATAAACAAGATAAGCACTTTAAAAGTTCTTATACAAGCAGATCTGTGAATTAGATTTAGTAAAGAAATTCTAACTGCTTTGCAAGTGATTTAGTTTCAAAAAGCTTGTTTTAAAACATTCACCTAAATTGCTTTTTACATGTGTCAATTATACACACTTCAGATCAATGTTTGTATCACAAACCCCTTTCAGTCAATTTTAAAAACTCACGAACTTTTTAAACACATACCAAAAAACTAACCTATAATCAGAGAACAAAGAGTCTGCATCCTTACTACTCCTTACTATAAGACCTTACTACAGGACACTCGCATCACTTACGCATATTGGCTTTGTCTTTTGACATGGCCGCCACAGCATCTTCATGAGTTGCAAACTCGACATCTGCTTCACCTGTTACTCTGCCATCAGGACCAATTTCAATATGTACTCTCACAGGGTTGAGTGGTGAAAAAAACTAAAAGTATTTCAGAGAATTAAGTCAGTATCTATTATTATAAAGAACTTAATACAATTTTTAACATGATTTTTCACTTAAGTAGAAGTTTTCACAGCAATGCTGAAATAAACTACTCTTGAATAAATTTATCTTACACTTACATTATAAATGTCATTCTCAGTAGCTCTGTAAGGTAATCCTCGCATGTGTACACAGTGTCCCGTTGTGCTCTGGAAAGTAGAGCCACCATCCCCATATCTGTGATCAGACATTCCTGAAAAACAGTAATTAAGGTCTAGATTGACAAGAGTGTAAGTATCCTTCAGTTGAGATATTCAATTCTTACCTTACCTCTTCCAAATCTATCTGACCCAAATCCATAGCCATCATTATAGCCATTGTAATCATCATAGCCTCCATAACCTGAAAGACAAAGTATCATCAATCCAACGAAACACCCAAGGAGCAGACCTCGTGACCCCTGCGCATCCTTCACATACCTCCACCGTAAGCACCACGCCTCATCCTTTCAAAGCCAGCTCCCCTGCCAATGCTGTTATACCCTCTGCCAGCTCCAGGTCTGTCATAGGGACCTGGCCGCTGCATGGCCATGAGCTTTCGTGGTGGATCATAGTGAGTTCTAACTTCAGCTCGACTGCTCTTAAAGATTTCGATATACCTAAAGCATTGTTCACAAGGGAAGGGGTGGGGGAGAGAAAACTTTAGTTCATTTCATACAGACACTCAGTTACACAAGAAAACAATGTAGTCATAGCCATGAAACTGACTAATAATTAAAGCCAGATTTCTTATATTTGCATAGGCAATGACCAGATAATCACTCAATTTTAAGATTACTTAATGTAAACGTTATAGAAAAAAATCTCCTCTAAGGCAGAGCCCGACCTTAGGGGTAACAGAGGAGTACTGTGTTTCAGTTTCAGGAGGGAAAGAATTCCACTCAACTGTCAACATTTCATGTCTTAAATCCATGGGCAGCATGTATAGCAAGTGGGCTAAAAAGCCAGCCTCCACCAACAGTCTAGCCCACACTACACATTTCCTTTCGCCAATACCCCAGCCTATGCTTTTAGTAGGAATCAGCATAGGTAAGCGCATGCTTCAATGAAAAATAGTCACAAGCAAAGAGAATAAAACCTTTTGTGACAATTTCTTGAAAGCTATGCTTATTAATACATATGCAGAATATTTATAACAGCAAGAAAAAGTTTGTTGCATTTCAACTTTAAAAACAAGATCAGAAAGTATCACATTTTCTTATGGTAATATTAATTTACTAGGTGGGTGTTATTACAGCTAAAGCCAGGTTTGCACTAACTTTTTAAAGCCATAGTCTCTCAACTCCACCAATTGGGGTTAATTAGGAATCTTAGGAAATTGTAGAGTAGACCAAATTAACTGGGGACAATTTTTAAACCTAAAATTTAATCTCAATGCATCATGGACTTTGGCATAGAATTGTTTTTAAAACTGGCAGAACATCAATCAACTAGGACTAGGAAATCCATTAATTTCCTCCTTCTAAGCAGAGAGAATATGGATTTAATTGTTTACCATAAGAAAAGTGACAAATCCAACCAACCATCCATCCCCACCTGTGCCCTATTCTTTCCTTGTGTTTCTTTAGAGCCTTTTCAGCTATTTCCTGTGAAGCAAACTGCACGAAGGCCTCCCCCGTACTCCTCCCCTGGAAGTCCACCGGCAATGTTATCCCATTTGGCACGATTTCCAACCCTTCAACCCAAGGACAAATAACCCCAGTAGGGGGGCAATATTAACATCACAAGCCCAGAAATGATTCTTCTTATAGCTTTAAATAAACCAGAATTTTAACTTTAGGTGAACGGTATGCTTTCAACAAGTACTCTTTAAATATGCATTGCAGTAATATGAAGTTCCATTATTACAAAGTATTAATTCTTAACACACCCCATGGCACAGTATATATAAAAAAGAACTTCAACACAGGATGCATTAAGAATTCAACAATTAACACTCTTATCTATGTAACTTAATGTTGAGAATTACAGAAGAATTTAATAAAGTTCAAGCATTAAATACAACAGTTTTACTAAATTCAAAACACCTTTTACCTCATTGTATATTTCAATGTTTTTAGTGGAACTTCAATTAAAAAATAATTTACACATTTAAACATTTTATATACAAATTGAAACAAAGCGTAATGTCATATAATTGACAAACATACAATCTAAACTTTCAACAAATAACTGATCTACACAGCACAATCATGCACTCTTATTCTCTAACAGTAGTTATGATTCACTTCTGGAAATTCCGTCTATGAAAAATCCTTTCCGTGGATACATTCCCAAGCTTACAAAAAGGACTTAAAGCACTTTCCTAGAAGATATGAAATTATGTTCATATTTAACGTTGACAGATAGCATTCAATTCTCACCAATTTAGACAAAAACAATCAAAACAGACGACTTCAAAAATTCTGGCAAATATTTAGGAGTTGATAGTTATCTATTAATGAGGATTTTCATACATACTACACTGAACCATGAAAGGATTTAATTCGTTTATCACATCACAAATATTAATAGTATTTAAATACATGATCTAACATTCTGCTAAACATGCAATTATAGGCTCTTCAGCATAAAAACATTCAAATACTTTAGGCCCAGAACAGTTTCATCCTGTTTCAAATTACTGAAACTATGTTCAACCTACTCTTACAGTAGAATGACTTTCAGAAGTTAATCATTACCTCGCTAAACCACTTGCTTCCGTAATAGTTTTTTTTTTTGCATAAACAGAATTAGACCTTTAGAGACATTTCTGGTCTAATGACCCAGTGTGTCTTACAGCACAGACACTTGTAATAATTAAAGCCACCTAAGTCAAACTAATCTATTATTAAGGGATCTTACCTTTAAACTTGAAGTACTTTAACAGCATTGTGAGGAAAGCAGTTAAGTTGTTGAGGATAATCCTCAAAGACTTACTCTAAACTACAATACTAAATATAGGCAAAGAGTTAACATTTTGGAAGTATTTCATTTCCACCTTTAAGATGGGCTTAAATTATTTGAAGGTCTCCAGGAAGAAGAAAACATTAATTCATGTGCATATACTCAAAACTTGTTTAAATAATCTAACCTACTCCGACTTTGAGGTCTATTAAATGTTGCCAGAAGCTAGCCAGAACTCACTGCTCAGGAATGAACACGACTACATACCTGAGAAGAACTGAACAATTTCTTCCTTGCTACATCCAAAGGGGAGTCCTCTAAGTCGTACAAAGCCATCATTGGCCGTGTCAGGACTATTTGGACCAGTATGCTTCAACACCCAATCCATTTCAACGTTGTTTGACTTGAATACTGAAAGAGGTGCTTAGAATTAGTCAATTTTGGAAAGTTAGAGAAAAAAGTTCAGACTTCCTGGGTCTTTAGATAATCTAGGAAGAGCTGCCATAAACTCCCTTAGATGACCATTTCCATGCGGTCAAATACCTAAAATTCAGAAGGGGTAAAATACATCTCTATGTGTTTAATATTTACTGTTACTAGGGCAATGTAAATCAAACCTTCAACATATCTGTGTCCCATAGTTTCTCTGTCTTTTTTCAGGGCCAATTTGACTTCATCTTCTGATTCAAGTTCAACAAAAGCCTCGCCACTCGGTCTGCCTTCTCTGGTGTAGATGAAACGAATACCTTGAGCCCCATTTTGAATTTTGCAGTCTGAAAAGAAAACAACTGTCAATACATAATAAAATTAAAAATCACCTCTGGTTGATACAGAGGAAATGCTTAATGTCCCCACTACAAAGCAGATCATCTGCAAAGCTCAAAATGACCAAGATATACCAATTCTTAAGGTTTTCTCTGTTAAGTAGGCAATTGTCCTCTCCTGCTCAAACTTTGTTATTCCCCATATTCCCAATCCATCATGAATATCCAGTATTCAAACCAGTCTCTTAAAGTTCTCTCTTAAGTCCTTGCCACCAAAGTGTCTCCAATTAAACATCCTTATTAATTTAGCAAAGTCAAGTGTGGACCTTGTGATTTTCATTAGGTTTTCTAAACGCAATTTCGAATTTTGGTTCTAGGCATTTGACGGTTTTACCTTACTGGCAGCAACGTTACAATTTCTCCTTGGAATCCAAATTGCAGGGCCATTACTCACCTGAAGGGGGTCAGTGTTATCAAGCTAAAATGCTCCCAGTTGCAGTTAAAGTCAAACCCAGTCTTGCCCATTGTCAGGTGGGTTCCAGTGTACTTGGTTCTTGCTTTACAGGTCGTTTTCTGTTCCCAACGCTAAATTCAGGTAAGTCAATGCTACAAATGTCCTTCCAAAACCTGTAATTTCCTCCAAATATTTATCAGTCTAATCTTACCCTAACAATGAGAACAACGACATTTGGGTGCAAATTTTCAGGAAACCTACATACTGGAAAAAAACTACATAGGCAACAAGTAGACTTCCCTGGGCTTCAGTGTCCCCATCTGTTCAGTGAGCCAGTTCAAGAACTAGATGAGCAAGAACTCTTTAATTACCACTCTTGATTAGGAAAACTGTCTGAAATTAATGACATTTTTTAACTTTTGACAACGGTTACACTTTGAAGATTTTGCAAAATGGTTACTTGCCCAGCTACTGGGCAATTTTCTCAAGATGGGGGTCGCATTTATCCTTTCGAAAAGACTTCCAAAACTCGATAATATGGGCGAATGTAGTTACCACATTGGTTTTCTTGTGAAACCTTCCTAAGAGTGTATATTAATAATACCTTTTAAAAATTGTTTAAAAAAACAAAAGACTTCCACAGACAAAACTAGCAATTAAATTATCTGCCCAGAGGCCCGCACTCCCCCAAGAGGGCCGGCGGGCGGGGCTTTCGCAATTTCCATTGCGTAACAGCCGCCGGCCCAGAGCAAGCAGCCCTGTGGGAACGGCTGCCGCCCGCGCTCCGCCAGGGGGCGCCCCGGGCCGGCCCGCCCCGCGCCCGCCGCCTCTCCCCGCCCGCCGGCCTGCCCGCCCCGGAGGCCTCGGCCGAAAAACTCCCGCCTCTGCTTCAAACTCACCAGAAAAAAAACGCTGTACTTCGTCGGCCGAACAAGACCAGGGCAAACCCCGGACCTTCACCACGAACCCTTCTCCGCCTTCCGTGCCCAACATCATCGTCTCCAACTGGTTCCTCGCGTTCAAACAGACTGCAAAGCGGGAATGGGGTCGTCCCCGGGTAATGTTAAAATGAAGCTGCCCTCCGCCCTCGAGACGCCCCGCCGGCCCGCAGCACCCCGGTAATACCGAGACCGTGTCGAGACGCCCAACCCCGGCGACTCCCAACACCCGACACCCCCCTATCCGGCGGTCATGCCCCTGAAGCCTCTCTGGGAACCAGGCCCCGGAGACCCAAGCTTAGAGGGCCCCGGGCTAGCGCCAGCGTGGAGACAAGGAAATGGCGGCGGCCGCTTCCGCTCCTCCTCCGACATCTCACACAATAGAGTCGGCGCGGCCTACAGGCCTCGCGGCCCCGCCACGACTCGGCGAGCCACTCCTGGCTCCGAGCGGCAGCCCACATCTTGCCAAGGACCCCCAGGCTTTGCAGAGGGCTGGGGGTAAGCAATCCTCGCAAAAAATAGCATCCTCGGGGGCCATCGGGCGCCAAAGACAGACGACAAACACCCACCTACACCAACCACTTTGGCGTGGCTGAAAAGAAATGGCCAGTAGGCGCCTGCGCAACCTAAATATGGCCTTTTTGAACAACTTCTGCGCACGCGCAACCAGGTACCCGCACCGCCCACTTGCGTCACACGAAGATCGAACGCATGCGTAACTTTCTGAGCCGGCCTTCCTCCTGCCAGCAAGTTTTTATGCGCCCGCGATTTGTGATCAACCTCTTCACCGCCATTAACTCGCCAGGCATTTCTGCGCCTGCGCCTTCCCGCGATTATTAAACGAGCCTTCGCCGGTTAGCATTTAGTTTCCTGCGCATGCGCCTTCAAACCGTTCTCGCTTTACCCACTAGAGGGGGGAGGGGAATGGCGGCAGTCAGCTCCGCGTAGGGGCAGCTAGCTTGGTAGTCCCAGGCTTTGGGTTGTAAGAAGGTGACTGTTTTCCTATCCCTACCACAGCTTGTTATGCGCGCTCCTAGGCAACTTTAAGGGACAGGCGGTTTCCGCCCTCGCGCCGCGTGTACTCCCTTTCTCCCAAAGCGAGCCTGTCACCCTCGGCCTCCTGGGGGCTGCTGCGGACTTAACATCCCCGAAGGCACCCCCGCGGCTCCTGGAGCACGTCCAGACCGTGTGTGCCTCCACTTGCCCTTACCTGCCGCTGTTGGGCCTTGGGCCCCGACCGCGCAGGGTCCCAGTGCTCGGGTCTCAGTCCTGTACCCCGCTTTTGGCCTAACGTACTCGCACCCTGCGAACCCCGCTGCTGCGCCCCCGGGTCGGCGGGCCCTGAACGCCGTGGGGCGCTCGCACGAGACGGGTAGCGGGATGCCGCGCCTCGAGGGCGCCGGAAGAGTCCCCGGTGCGCGCCGGCCTCGGCCCTCTGGGGCTGTTTCTCGCTTAATTCTCCCAAGGCTAAGTAGGTACCGTTACGTCCGTTTCCTGGGCAGAGACACTGGGAAAGGACCCAAGGTCACCCCGTTGTGCGCACAAGGCACAGAGACGGTAGTGTTCACGGTTTCCAGCAGCACTGTGGGAAATTGTGGCCTCCCAGGCGTCCCCTTCTCTGATCTTGCCTGGCCGCCACCTCGGTGTAAATTAACAAGGCAGTGTTGGTCAATGGATGGTTTTAGTGCTACCAGGCAAGATGCGGGCAAAGCACGTCCCTGCCCCCAGTACAATAGTCTGGAAGCCAAGTCCAGTTTTGACAGGTTTCTGAAAAGGAGAAGACATTCAAGGAATAATGGGGGAGGGCGATCCAAGACAAGATCCCAGGGCCGGATCTTGAAATAATCCTAAAAGGCCATGTAGGCCTAGGCAAGGGTGTTCACGCCAAGCTCACCGGAAGGCATTCGGCTGGGAACAACAGGAGGTATTTGTCAGGAAATTTCGGTTGCTGGGAGTGGGGTTTGGGGGACGACACAGATGTAGCAGGCAGAATGAACTGCCTGCCCTCAAGTCTAGAGGGAGCTAGTGAAAATGGAACGCAGCTCTGTCTCTAGATGATTCAAAAGCAAGGAAAACAATTCTTGGTCTTGATACTCTCTCCAAGCCATCAGAAAGCCACCTCCCAGAGGGAAAAACCCTTATTCCCTGTAAAAAAAAAAATTATGTTACCTTCCAACAATGTGCCACACTTCTAAAATGTTTATTTTACCTTATTTTTCCCAAAATTGCCTGGGATTTTCTTTGATAAGTGTAAATGTAATACATAATCATCATAAAAAGATTAGATTTCCTTAGGGTAGATTTCTAAAAGTAAAATTATTCATGAAAGGATTCGAGTGTTTTAGGGCTACTAATAATAAAGGTTATAGAACTTGACAACCCTCTGTGGTGTGCAAGGGTTCCATATCCCCCAGTTTGCCTGGCACTGAAATTTCCTTTCCTCTAATCTGCTAATTGAATACTAAGAAAAACCGTATCTTTATTTGCATCTGCTTGATTACTACTGAGGAAGAATAAATTTTCTACATTCATAGCTAATTCCCTCATATAATCGTCAGTTCTACTTCTTTCTCCAATGATCTTTTGGTCTTTTGGTCTTTATTAAGGCTATTAACCCTTGGCAATAGTTGTCCCATTTTTCTGTTCACTTGCTTTTAGTTGTTGTTTGTTTAATGTTTGACAGAAGCTTTTAATTTTGATGAAGCCAAGCCGTAGATACTTTTGAATTTATGCTTAGAGAGCCCTTCCCCATACAGAGATGAAGCACATATGTGTTCATCTAACTTTTTCTTCAATTCCAAAGCACTTTTTCACAGTTTAACTTCTCTAAATTAGGGATGTGTCTTAAAAATCAGTGGCATGTTGTAGTTTAACTGGCAGCATTTTTTTCTTAGTAATACATAAAATAATGGTGGGTCTTAAAATTGATGACATCTTAGACTTGGTGGTATCTGGTATGTTCTACTTTTTATTTAATTTTTGTGATAGCCATTAAAATTGTTTTCATCATTTTCTTATGCAGAAATGTTTGTGATATGTAAGGAATAAACAATGCAAAACTAACATATCAACCATGTAGAACCGTGTTACTACTACATTAAAACACTGGCTAAAGAAATGCAAATTAAATAAAATAAGAATCTAATACCTTCTGCCACTAATTTTCCAAGTAATGACCATTAAAAAGAGTCAGCGGGAAAGAATTCAGGGAGGTGCCATGCATGCACTTTGGCTGAAATGTAAATTGGTACACTCTCTCTGAAGGGCTATTGGCAATACATTTAAAGTTTAAAAAACAGACATCCCTTTTGACCCATACATTCCACTTCACTTTTGCACAGATTTAATTACAAGACTGTTCACTGCAGCACGAAATGTAGAGATTTCAGAAAACAACTTAAAAGTGTGTTGACATTGTTTTTAATGTGAAACCTTCATAAGAGTGTATATCAATAATACTTTTTTAAAAAAGTGTGTGTTGAATGAATTTCGGTACGTCTTTATTATGCACTCTCACCTGGGGCAATATCGTGTAACAGACAAAAATTGGTTGTGGGGATGTGGAGTTGAGGGACGAATACATCTGAGCTATGCTTCCTGGCCACAGTACCTAAAAAGATACACAGCATATCTATGCTATTAACATTTCATGAGGGAGAAATAAGGGAGGAAAGGGTCTAAAAAGGCTCCTTCAGGTGGCGCTCATGAAACAAAAAGTTGTCAGAAACTGATCTATATAAATGGAATACTCCAGTTATTAAAAATGATGCGTAAGTATATTTGCGGGAAGATATTTACAATATTCGTTCAGTAAAAAAAAATTAAACTATTACAGTATGCCTTTTTTCTGAAATGTGTAATTACACACATGCAGAGAAAAAAAAAAATATATATATATATATATATACATATTATGTATCTGGAAAACATAAACCAAAATGTTTATTGGGACTTAACTGTAGGTGGCGGGAGTGTGGCGGTTTATTTTGGTTGTGGTTCTCGGTATTTTCAATTGTCTTTATGCTGGTAATACGTTTTACTAGTAGCTATAAAACTACACTTCCGTGAGTGGTCAGGACCGAGCGCCAGGACGCGCGTTTCTCCCCTCGCTGCGGGCACCGCCGCGCCGGCGGCCCTGGGTCGTGCTCAGGAGCGGGGGCCACATTTTGAAGCTAGAGACTGAAAGCCACGGAGGGTCCCGGTCCGGTGCCGCGTGACTCTGCCCTTCCAAGTGCGACACCAGGGGCTGCGTCCGCCTCGCCCGGGATCCGAAACCGTGTAAACTTCTCGGCGCGAGCGCGGACGCTTGTGCGCTGGAAACAAAGGCGCGTTCAGCCGCGCCCGGCGCGGGAGGCGGAGCGGCCGGGCCCGCCCGCAGGAGGGGGGCCGCCGCGGACGCCGGCCTGGAAACGGGAGCCCAGCGCGCCCTCTTGGGTTGGCTCGGGGCATCTCCTCCAGGCGGCGTGTGACAACCACTGGGCGAGAACCTTCTAGGTAGTGGCCCCGGTTTCCCAAGGCTTCAGCTGGGTCGCTCACCGTGGTTCAGTTCGCCGGTCAAAACGTACTGGTGGCTAATATCAGTCCTTACATTTTTAAATGTTTTATTATAGTAAAATATACATATCCGAAAAGTTTTAACCCTTTTTAAGTGTACAATCCAGTGATGTTAAGCACATTCGCCTTGTGAAAATACCACCACTATCCATCTCCAGAACTTTCTCATTTTCTCCAACTGAGACTCTACCATTTTAACACTAACTCCCCAGACTCCATCCCTCAGCCCCCGTTAGCCTCTAATTCTACTGTCTGTCCCTAGGAATTTGCCTGTTCTAGGAATCTAAGTGGAATCCTACAGCTTTTGTCCTTCTGTGTATGCTTTATTTCACTTAACACAATGTTTTCAGGGTCTCTCCATGTTGTAGCGTGTGTCAGAGTTCCCTTACTTTTTAAAACTGAACACTATTCTGTTGTATGTTTACAGTACATTTTGTTTATCCATTAACCCATTAATGGACATTTGGATTGGTTCCACCTTTTAGCTATTACGAATAATGCTGCTCTGAGTTTTTGCTGTACAAGCATATGTTTGAGTCCCTGCTTTCCATTCTTTTCAGGTGAATTGCTAGATCATATGTAATTTTATGTTTAACTTTTTGAAGAATAGCCAAACTTTTCCACAGAGACTAAACTTCACCCTCAATGGATGAGGCTTCCAGTTCCTCCATGTGCTCCCCAACATTGCTATTTTGTTCTGTTTTGTTTATTATAGTAGCCGTCCTAATGAGTGTGAAGTAGTAGCTCACTGTGGTTTTGATTTGCATTTCCCTAATAGTGAATTCGAGCATTTTTTCACGTGCGTGTCAGCTATTTGTATGTCTCCTTTGGAGACATGTCTGTTCAAGTCCTCTATTCAATTGGGTTTTTTGTGGTTATTGAGTTTAGAGGGTTTTATATTTCTGGATATTAATTCCTTATCAGATATATGACTTGCAGATAATTTCTCTCATGACGTGGGTTACTGAGTCTCTGTAATTTTATTCCCTTTTTGGAGGTTCTTTGACACACTGTTTATTAGCATCTTGCATATTCATTCATTCACCCAACAAATGTCCCAGTGCATTCTGTGTGCCATGCTCTGGGCTGAGCACTGCAGGCATGATCACAGAAGAAAAAAGTCCCTGGAGGAGCTTGCCGTTTAGAGCGGGAAATG